GCTGATGCAGGACCTACGTGCTGGGCCAGTGGTGAGGCTGGGGAGCGGAACACTCTTTGGGAGGTCATGGCTGGGTGTGGGGAGGGGGATTTTCAGTCCTCTGTGGATCAGCCTGGAAGGCCTCCTGGAGGAATCTGTGTTGAATCTCAGTGAGAGCACGCCTAGTCCCAGCCATCCCAGGTTTTTGGTAACTAGCATGCCCCTCCCCTCTGCTTGCCGTGCCAGCCTATGACCCTGGAGGGCAGGAGGGAGGGGTGCTGGCTGTGGTGCGCGTGGGAGCTCTGGAGTCGGCAGGTGTCAGTCCTTGCCGGCCCATCTGGCAGTCTCTAGGGAGGCTGGAGCTCTTAGGTGTGGTTCTGATGCTGCGTGGTCTTTGTTGTTCAGTCACTAAGTCCTGCCCTTAGCTGGTTCTAACCTCTTAGAACCTGTTATCTCCCCTACAAATGAGTGGTCAGCAAAGGGACCACCAGTGTGAGCTCTGGGTGGGGGTCTGCTTGGAGCTGCAGCCCAGCCCCAGACCTCGTGCCCTGGGCTGAGTTGGGGGGTGGGTGATCCCTCCTCTTTGCGGGGGCACCTCCTGGAGGGCCTTCTGGGGGCTGGAAACGACCCCCAGCAGAGTCGACTCCTTGGCTCTTGCACCCCCCACCCCCACCCCAGGTCCCTGTGCCCCGTTTTGTCCCCTCGGTGTTACATTCCGCAGAGGAAAGTGATCCCTCACTCAAGGCCTGAGGATTACAGGCTGGAGAGAAGTCCGCGTTGCCCTGGGAACGCTCACGTAGCCCTTTTCCGTTTTCCCATCAGTGCCCTCCTCCTTCTGCCAAAGGCTGGGGGCGGGGCGGGGAGGGGGAATGATCCTGGCTGAGGTTGGGGGGCTGATCAGCCCTTCCCTCCCTCCCTGAGGGTCAGCAGCCCTGGAATGGGGGTAAACTGTGCTGAGCTTCTATAGGCCTCCTCAGGAGGTAGTTGGGGGTCAGGGGCCCTGGGGTCTCCATGTGTCTGGGCTCCCCTGCCCCCTCACTTCTGCCCTGACGCCCCTCCTAGGCTGAAGCCCCTCCACCCCTACTAAGCTGGGGATTTCCGCAGGCTGAGCCAACCGCCTGACCCTCATTATGGCGCCTTCATCCTGTTGGGGTTAAGCTCCCAGTGGCCTTCCCTGCCCCCCGCCCCAGAGGCCAGGCTGGGGGTCAGAGATTCAGGAGGCTCAAGCCTGCTGGGCCCCCTCGCGGAAGGGCTGGTGGCCTGTCTTCTCCCCAGGGCCCCAGGGGGTGGAGAGGCAGCTTGCCCTGGGGGTCTGGGTGGACAAGGGAAGATGTGCAGGGAATGCTCCGGGAGGAGGGGGTGGTTCTTCAGGGAAGAGGGAGCTGATGGCCTTTAGAGGGCAGTGAAGTCGAGAGATTAGAAATCCCAGGGGCTGCTTTCACAAATGTAGAGTCATCGAGAAAGAGTTTTAAAAATACTCAGCCCCACGCCTCCTGATTTTTATTTCATCAGCCAGGACTGGAGCAAGCATTGGTATTTAAAAAAAATCCTCCTCGGGTGGCTCTCATATTCAGCCAGTTTGAAAATCACTGCCCTACCTGACCACGCCCCATGGTACTGTCAAGGAGACGGATGAGCCATCAGAAGGCCCTTGAGGGAGGTAACTTCACCAGCTGGGCAAGACTGGGTTGGAACTTGGGACAGGCCACTTCCTCTTGGCCTCCTCCATCCGCCAGAGGCTTGCCAGGTGTCCCACTCACTTAATTATTTGGGTCCTTCGGAGCTGTGTGACTGAGAACAAGTGACTTTGACCTTGCTGTGCCTGGTGATGCTAGGCCCCAGTGATAAGAAGAGAAGGAGATGGTGCCTGTAAGGCTCCAGCAGCACTTGGGGGAAGGGTAGCCATTGGCCTTCTGCTGGGGCCAGGGTCTAGGCAAGGCCTCCATCATCTTATCCATCAAACAGGCGTGGCCCTCAGAACTCCAGCTACTCTCAGGTAGAGTAGGGTAGTGGATATCCTTGAGGTTCCCTGGGCCCTGAGAGGGAGCTGGGAGGTGCAGGGGAAGTGCCGGAAAGAAGGGTTCCCTCAGTGGGATGTTTCAAGAGAACAGCATCGAAACATGTATATTATCTATGGTGAAACAGATCACCAGCCCAGGTTGGATGCATGAGGCAAGTGCTTGGGCCTGGTGCACTGGGAAGACTCAGAGGGATCGGGTAGAGAGGGAGGGGGGAGGGGGGATCGGGATGGGGAATACATGTAAATCCATGGCTGATTCATGTCAATGTATGACAAAACCCACTACAATATTGTAAAGTAATTAGCCTCCAACTAATAAAAATAAATGAAGGAAAAAAAAAAGAAGGGTTCCCTCACCCTTGAACCTCACACCTTTCTTGTTGGGGGGGTGTCACTGTATCCTGCAGATATAGAAATGGCCACCAGGTGTCACCCTCAGCTCATGCTTGAAGTGAAGGCAGCGCAGAAAGAGGGGAAAGGGCTGTGTGGAGAGGAAGGCACCTCTCCGGGAGTGAGTGAACCTGGAGAGTGCCTGATGCTTTGGGTGGGGGGGGTGGGGGCGGGGAGAGGCTGTTAATTTCTGCAGGAAGGTGCTCTGCAAAGGTTCATTTGTCTGCCTTCAGAATTCTCCTTCCCATGCTGATGGCAAATTACAATTCAACAGGTTCTTTATAGGGCACCTGTTGCACACAGGGGTGGGGGGGTGGAAGGGGGGGTGGAAGGGTTGGGGGACAGGGGTGGAGGGGGGAGGTGGGGGGAGGCTTAAGAATCTTACTGAACACCTAAACTCTGTACCAGATCCTATACACACAGGAGGCCACTCAATATTCATAGCAACCTGGTATAGTTAGTACCATGATTAGTCCCATGTCACAGGGCAACTGAGGCTTATACTGATTATGTGTTGGGCCCAAGGTCACCCAGCTGGACAAAGTTGGAGGCTTGTCTAGAGCCTAACTTCTTTCTCCTTTACCCATTTAGTCAGGGGACAGGAAACCTGGAACGGTCTTCCCACCAGGCTGGGAGAGGATGTGGTGGGTGGCGACCCAACCCTGCCTGGCTCTGCTAATCAAGAACCAGCAAGGAGCTCAGAGAGGCATGCTGCCAGACTGCCGGGTGAGGGTTGATGCAGGGGTGGGGGAGGAACCTGTGCTTACTGGGGTGGGTGGAAATAGGGTTTGGGTGCAGGCTGGGTGTCAGGCAAGGGCAGGCCGCAGACACAGCAGCAATGAGAGGCTCTTACCACCTGCACACATATTCCTTGGAGCAAACTTCCCAGCTCAGAGTTATTTCAGTTTCCTCACCTGTCAATTCTAGGGGCCAACTTTGCTCATCCAATACCTTGTCCCTGCCTCGTGCTGGACTCTGAGCTGACCACTCCTCGGGTCAGGTACTAAGATGGACATGATCTCGGCCATCCCTCACCTGCAACCCTCCACTTTCAGCTTAGATCAGCTTTAAAGTTTCTTTGATCATGCCGCTTACCAATGAAACAATTGCTGAGCATGCATCTGTAATAGAAACATATTTTCATATTGTTTACTTTGTAAAACACACTCACATTAAATGGAAAAAGATGAGATAAAAAAATTAATGTCCTAATATTTTCCTTCTGCACCTCCGTTACCCACACTCCCCACCTTCCAAGGGCACTTTAGATCCAACTGCTCCAGGAAATGGAGGGTAGTCAGTCCAACCCAGCTCAGGAGGGAAGTGTGGTCAATGTTCTGGAACATCCTTGCCCACCCCTTCATGCCCCAGCACCAGAAGAGAGACACTTCAGTGACAGCAGGTGGGAGCGCGGGCAGACGGGGAGCATGAGCAGGGCCATGTCAGGGAGGGGCTTCGACGACCTGGACAAGAGGCAGGTTTTCATTTTATACCCTGATGCTGACTAAGTTTTGTGATTAAGTTTTTTACTGTCCCAGAACATATAGAACCAGGACATTGTATTCTAGGTAGTTATCTGATATGTGTCCTTCAGGTAGTTCTATTCTGTTTCCAACAGTTTAAAAGTCCACCCCTCCCCCACCTCCTGGAGTTGGGAACACTCCTTTCAACACACACACATTTGGGACAGGAAGGACAGACACAGCTTAGGTGCCTTGTCCTCAGGGGCTTCATCCTCCACTGCCCCTCCCTCGTTGGAGGCCCCTGTGTCGTCCTTGCCTGGACGGGTCCTTCTGCAGGGCCGGCACTTGGGGACCTGCGTGAATAGGAGATGGAGGAGAGGAGGGGCAAGAGGCTGTATCTGGGGTACAGAAGTGAGCCCTCCCTGACTGAGAGAAGTCTTGAGAGAAGCCCCCTGTCCCCCAGCCCAGGCTTGGGGCTGGAAAGGACCAAATGGCTTACAAAGGCATCTGGCTGCCCCACCACGCCCCCCCCAGGGTGGCAGCCATGGTGGCTGGCCCAGTGTGGATGCCTTTGTGTTCCTTGACTGTGTGTCTGTTTCTGCAGTCACTGGGTGCTTGTTCTGTGGGGTGAGGGGTGTGGGGGTGGGGGCATGGCCTGTGGCTGGGCAAGTACGTGAGGCTGGGCACGAACAGCCTCACCTACCAGCCCTACTCTTGCCAGGTACAACCAGCTGCTGCGGCTGCCCGCCATCCGCCTCCTCCCTTCCCTGGGCCTGGCCAGGCCGGGGGGCAAATGACTTGGCGGGCACCTCCCCTCACTTGGACCCACTGGGGCAGGGCCGGCTCACCTGGGCACAGCCATGGGTCCCAGATAGGTGGGTGCTCTGCTCACCCCTCCCCCACTCTTCACCAGGGAGATGGGGGGGTGCTGCGGCCCGGGAGGGGGCGCGGGGCAGAGCTTGGGCCCCCTTCCTCTCCCAGACAGTGGATGCCTACAGCAGGGCAGAAGGGGGGGCCCGAAGGAATGGGGAATTTCTCTGTTTCGGGCCAGGAAATGATTTCCATGCAAATAAGATGCAAACTCCTTAATGAATTTGCAATTAGGAACGGAGGCTGCCAGGTCCGGGCAGCGCCTGCGGGTTTTATGAATGGGCCAGCGTGGGGCGGGGGTGGGGGGCGGCGCGCCGGCCCGCCCCCAAGTTTCCCTGCCGCTGCGCCCGCGACATGCCGCGCCGCACGTTGCTGCCTCCCGGCCCCGCCGCGACCTGGCCCGCCGCCAGCGGGTCAGCTGCTTCGGACCGAGCGCGGGAGGCTGCCGGCCAGAGTCCTCGCCGCGCCGCCGGCGGCGAAGCGTCGGGCCGCGGCACGCCCCCTGGGGCCTGGCAGGGGTCTTCCCTCTGGCGTCCCATTCCTTGGTGATTGGAACGGTCTCCTAAAGCTGGAGGGAGTGAAGTGAGCTTTCAGGCCCTGAGGATGGTCAGGCCTGGGAGGTCACTGACCACAGGAGGAGGGTAGGACCCTAACCTGGCCGGGGTTGGGGCAATGACCTTGGGAGGGATGGATGTACAAGGAGAGGAGAAGAAAGGGGTCAGTTCCCATCCCAGCACCCTTTGCACCTCGCCAGTCCTCAGTTCCCATCTCCCTAACCTCAGCAGGCCTTGCCCACCACCCCAGGGCACCTGCTTTATTTTTTTTTCCTCTTGCAGGGCCAGCCCAGTCTGCTCTGGGCCTTGCTTTGACCTGGTGGAAGAGTGGGTGTCCTGGGGGTGGATGGGTTCGCTTGGGTCAGCTCTGGTCCGGAAAGAAACTCACCAGTTTGAGTCTGAGCCCTATTAGGCCACAGACTCCATCCCCTCCCCTCCCCCAAGCTTTCAGAGTAAATTAACCAATTACCTCTAATTAAAGTGCCATGCTTTCTGTTCCCTCTTGGGCCTCAGTCCCCACCCTGGGAGTCCTCTTACCCTGGCTGCTCTGGAAGGGAGCCGGGCCAATAAGGTGGAAGCCAGTGAATCAGTGAGTAGAGCTGGGCGGGGTGTGGAGGGAGGAAGTCACAGTGCCATTGACTTCTGGGGAGTGGTCTGGGAACCGGGCCTTTGTGGGGCCTTGGAAGGATGGGAGCCCCAGGCTGCCTTCGGAGGTTGGACCTGTGTAAAGCCCTGTGAGGGTGCTGAGGCCTTGGGGGCGACCCTCCTCGGAGGACTGGTGGGGCAGTTCTAGAAGTTGCCGGTCCTGGGTGGCACCTGCTGCTCACTCACCCACCACACCAGGAGAGACTCAGCCCTAGGGGGCTGGTGGCGGTGGCGGGGTGGGGGATGGGGGGTGGGGGTCCATCCTCTCTTTAACCCAGCTCTTCCTGTGCAGTGAGAACCCCTTCGTTCCTCTCTGCCTGCCCTCCATGGCCCCGAGGCGCAGGCCCCAGCGCTTGCATGGCCTGCACCACCCTAGCACCTCCGTGGCCCCACGTGTGAGACGTGTTGGGGAGGATGCCCAGTGGCCAGAGGCAGGGTGATGGGCTGTTGACCCAGGTCTCACCTCTTGGCAAGCTGGCCTTTCCTGAGACGGGCAGTACCCCGCCAGGCTGTGACTCAGGCCCGTACCCTACCTTGAGCCCTGCCATGCCAAGGATCTGTGTATGTGGGGTGGGTCTGTCAGCTGTAGACTCCTCTCTCGGGTCACTTTCTCTGCCAGCCCTAAGGAGCCAGGCGGTGACCAGAAGGTTTGGGCCTTCCAGCTCTCAGCCTTCAAGCTCTGGCTGTTTCTCCCAGCCCCCCACCCCAGTAGAGGCTGACGGTGAGGGGAGGCCCCCTTGCAGGGCACAGCAGCCATCAGACCCTGCGGGGGTGTCAGCCACCCAGGACAGGGGTAGGACTCGGCACACAGCGTCTCCTGAGCCCCCATCTGCCAGCTTGGCTGCCCGTCCCTGCTCAACGGAAGCTGGCTCAAAACTCCCCGCCTCCAGCAAGGTTTCAGCATGCCTCCCTTATTTGTGGCCAGCCCAGTCACTACTGTTCACTGGCTCCTGGTTTTCATTTGTTTCTCTGACTTTTGTCCGCTTCTCCAGACCCTCCGCGAGTGCCTCTGCACGACTCTTGTTCTTTCCTGCATTTCCCAGTGGCCAGCAGAGGGCGCCTCCTAAAAGACTGCGGGACCAGGGAGGGAGCGGATCCGCTTCCCCGGATCCAGGCACTGTGTAATGCCCAGGCTCATGGGTCCGTTTGTGTAAACTGAAACTGACCCAGAACACCTTCCTTCCTGGCGATCTAGACTTAACCTGCCGGCAAAGGGCTAGAGATTAGACCACAGGTTAAACCCAGGTGGCTGTCTCCGGCGTGAAACCAGGTGGCCCCCCACAAAGGACTGAGAGGATAAGGGAGCTGCCCCCCCCTCCCCCCCAGCAGACCGAACGGGGAAGGGGCACCGGAGGCCGCCGGCTTTCCTCCCTTGACCCTGGGAGAAGTTGGGAGGGGCTGCACCGAATAGCTGGTGTTCCACCCCATGGGAGGGGCTGCTGTGCACGTCTGGGCCACATCTGGGTTCTTGGCAGCAAAGGGAGCTGGTCTGTTTGGGATCCTCCAGGGAAATAGGATCCACCCCTTGGTGGCTTCTCACCATTACATTCCTGGGGAGCCCTTTATACACAGGTGTATGGGACACATCCGTAATGCGGGTGAATTCATGCCAGCCTAGGGGGGACCCTCCAGACACTCGCTCCTTTCGACATGGACTTAGTTAGGTTCCTGGGCAGCAGCCTGTTCTGGGCCACCAGACATTTCCGCTATCCTATGTTCGCGTGTGAGATTCTGGGCTTCCCCTTCTGGAAATCCTGGGAACTAGACTCTAACGTCCATCCAGTCCGTTCTCCTTCCTCCAGCTGGGTAAGAGGAGAGTGAGGTTACAGCACCTCTTAGGGACTCCATCATCATGCAAAGCAGAGTGGGAAACGGTCTGCTGTTGGGTCATTTCACACAAAAGCCTGGGAATGTGATCAGGACGGGAAGAGGGGACAGCAAAACTGGTTCTTTCTTGGGTTTGGGTCCTGGGTTTTGGGGAGGGGACAACACGGAGAAAACCTCTCTTGGTCGGCTGGGTTCCTGGACGTCCGAGCAGGAAACAGAGGGCTGGCCGGAATGGCCTTGAAGTAGGCTGCGACGGCGAGGGGGGAAGGGGGAAGGGAGGGAAGGTTGCGCCCACCCAGGGTCCCCCCCGCCAGACCCTCTCCCCAGCTTCCCCCCGCCCGGCCCGCCGCGGCCCCTCCTCCAGACCTGGGCACCGCCTCCCCCTCCCCTCCTCCTCCCCCTCCCACTCGGCGCTGCAGCTGCTGCCGACGGACCATTCTGCACGTAGCGAATGGAGGAGACGCACAAGGGAGGCCTCAAGTGCGCGCGCGCGGGAGCCGGCGCCGCGCGGGCGGGGGAGCGGCTGCGGGTACGCGTGCGCGTGCGGTGCCGGCCCCGAGCGCGCTCGCAGGGCTCCGGAGCAAGCGGCTCTTCTGTGCGCCCAGGTTAGGGATGCTCTGCGGTGGGGTTCCCGCCGCTCCGGGTCCTCCCATGCACTCTGTTTGCCTTCCAGGGAATCCCACCTCTACCCAGCCCCTTTTTCATCATGCACCCCAATAGCACCGTCCTTCACGCGCAGCAGCGCTTCATGGTGACTGGGTGCTGAAATGAATTGATGCTCTGGCCCTCCTGATCCTCTGGGTCACTGCTCTACAGTCCGCTGGGCCCTGGGCTGAGAGGCAAGAGAGGGCTGAAAACTCTGGTCCCTTGGGCACTGGATTCACAACCCTATAGACCCACAGGGCTTCCCTGGTGGCTCAGATGTAAAGAATCTGCCTGCAATGTGGGAGACCTGGGTTCGATCCCTGGGTGGGGAAGATCCCCTGGAGAATCCCCATGGACAGAGGAGCCTGGTGGGCTACAGTCCATGGAGTTGCGACGAGTGCGACACAGCTGACCCACCAAGCACATATAGTCCCATCTGTGCCCGGGGAGAGCTCTCAGCCTCCTGGAGACTCTCACCCTGACACCTATCTGCACCTGAATCCATGGCAGGCCCTGTAAGGCCGGTAGAAACCCTAGACAAATGGCTGTCAAGGAAAGACAAATGAGTTCTTTGACCTTTATCTCTGCTGGGACGGGAACTCCCAGGGGAGTGCCGTTCCCCGCCACCTCCTCCCCTTGTGTCACCTGCACAACTCCCACTCCCTGGGGCATCCAGGACAGGATTGGGCTCTGTTCACACCGCGGGTGAAGGTGTGGTACGGTGAACACAGATGTCCTGGGATGGCCGGGGAGTGCAGAGAGGCCATGTCAGCCTAGGGTAGGCAGTACTCATCTTGGAGTTGTCTTCTGAGTCTGCAGGGCACCCTCCTCACTTTCTGAGCCCCTGATTCTGGTGGGTCTGGGAGGGTGCGCCTTCCTTCTGTAGATGGCCCAGAAGGTTGGCACCTCATTCTACCCTCTGCATCACTCAGAGGCGTGGGGTAGGGCCTCTTTGGGCTGTGAGGGCCCTGGGCCTGGCAGGTGCAGGGCCTTGCAAAGAGGAGCTTGAACTGCATCGGTCACCTGCTGGACCTCCTGTTGGGGGGCGGGGCGGTGACTTGAAGGGTTGAGGGTGACTGAGAGTTCTTTGTCACATGATAACTTGACCTTGCCCTAATTTGACCTCTCTAAGCCTAAATTTCCTGTCTAATGGGAGCACAGCCTTATCTAGTGGGGTCGTTTAGGACTGAAATGTAGTCTGCATATAACATGCCTCACGTGTTGGAGGCAAGTGCTCAGTAGAGCTTAATCTTTTTTTTATTACTGTGTGCAGACTGGCTGAAAGGCTGGGGACATTTTCTTCAGCTGTGTTTCCAATGGGTAGAGTGAATTCAAATCCCAGAACTCCTTGGAATTTGGAGGTTGGGTTTTGTGAAAACTATAGAGAAACCAGTAATATGTCATACTTTTGTCATCATCCAAGAATGAACCATTTCACATTAGTTTTCCAGACGTTAATATCCGAGACCTTAAAAAGAGATATTTTGGATGGAAATCACTAGTGGATATTACACACTTTCCTGCCTTCTTAATCAGAGGTTAGAGAACATGTGAGTCCTTATGACTCAGAGTTGCGGTTACAAGTGTCCATCATGGTCCTGGTTGTAACACAGTGAAAATCCAAGGTCTTGTTTGACTCCACACTGAAGGCCCATCCCATGATGTCTTTATTTTCATAGTTCTTGTGTCTTTTCATAGTTCTTCATCACTTCACCGGCTCCCTATTAGCTGTCACTTCCACCACCATCACTGCCTCAGGTCGACCACCATCCCTCCTCTTTCTTTTCAACTTGTTTCTAGTCCGCTGTGGGCTGAGATAGCAGAAAATCACATCTGTTAGAAGACATGAAAAACAACAAATCTTCTGAACTTGACAAATTATATTAAAATTCATCTGGAAAAATAAACATGCAAAAAGAGCTTGGAAAATTCTAGAGGAGAGGCATTATAAGGGGCAAATAGAGCCACTGAAATGTTGTATAAATCTTCAGTAATAAAACAGTTGGGTACTGGCACACAGAGTGTCACATCAAAGGAACAGAACAGAGCCCAGACACACACTGTGAACAAATGGAAATTGAATATATGGTAAAGTGACTTTTTAGATCAGAGGAGAAAAGATTCAATCAACTTGAACAACTGGCTAGCTGTTTGGGGGGGGGGGGGAGCCAGTTCTCCACTTCATTCCTCATTCTGAAATTGGCCTCAGATGAATCAATTATTTAAATGTAAAAAGAAGCCCATGAAATTACTGGAAGAAAACATGAACAAAAATTTTTAAGTGTATTGATATATTCTTAAACTGAGGAAAGGAGGACAAAATATAGGAGTCATAAAAGGAAAGATTTTTAAAATAATTTTATTTATTTTATTCATTTATTTGGCTGTGCTGGGTCTTCCTTGCTGAGTGGGCTTTTCTCTGGATGCAGTGAGTGGGGGCTACTCTTTATTGTGGTGCACTGGCTTCTCATTGCAGTGGCTTCTCTTGTTGCGGAGCACCGGTTCCAGAGCATTCAGGCTTTAGTATTTGTGGCACATAGCCTCAGTGACTATGGCTCCTGGACTAGAGAGCACAGGTTTAGTAGCTGTAGTTCACGGCATGTGGGATCTTCCTGGCAAGGGATCGAACCTGAGTCTCCTGGATTGGCAGGCGAATTCTTAACCCCTGAGCCCCCAAGGAGGCCCACAAAAGGAAAGCTCTTTCAAAACTAGTTACATAAACAAGTAACATCTTAAAGTTTACAGGCAAATAACAAACCAGAAAAAATATTTTCAATATATCTGACAGATAAGTTCATACTAATCAATAAGGAAAAGAGAAGCAAATAGAAAAAGGGGCCAAGTTCATGAACAGGAAAGGGAATACTAAAGGCTAACGAACAGGTGAAAATTCCTACCCTCAGTCAAAATACAAGAAATCAAAAGTGAGAGATGATAAGAGTCTCCTTATCATCTTTTCCTCCTTACAATGGACAACAACTGAAATAGGAGACCCCTCACTTTGTGGACACAGGCATCCTCAGAACTGGTGGGAGGGCAACTGCACCCAGGAAGAATTAATTCACAAACCACTTGCTCAGGGGCTCCACACCTACAGATTTATTAGGTATGCTGTCACAAATGTTGCGAGTGTTTAAAGTATCTGTAGAACTGTATTCATGACAGTTTTATTTCTGAATCTTAAAAACTGGAAGCAACGTCAAGTCCATCAGTAAGGCACTGATTAGCTATGTTCTGGAGCATCCAAAATGCCAGAGGTGTGTGCTGGGATTAAAGAGAGTGAGGTACTCAGCTGGTAATGAATCTGCCTGCAATGCAGGAGACCCTGGTTCGATTCCTGGGTTGGGAAGATCTCCTGGAGAAGGGATAGGCTACCCACCCCAGTATTCTTGAGCTTCCTTGGTGGTTCAGCTGGTAAAGAATCCGCCTACAATGTGGGAGACCTGGGTTCGATTCCTGGGTTGGGAAGATCCTCTGGAGAAGGGAAGGACTACCCACTCTAGTATTCTGGCCTGGAGAATTCCATGGACTGTATAGTCATGGGGTCACAAAGAGTCGGCCACCACTGAGCAACTTTCACTTTGACAGTGTTATAGGTTGATATTCCCTAATGAGAAAGTAAGTGGCAGGACAGCTCTGGCGGTACTAGTCCACAAAGCGTAGACCTTTGGGCAGTATTGAATCTTGAGAAGCCTGCTGGAGACCCAGAATCTCAGGATGGGGGATGGGGAAGGTGGGATGGAGTGCAGAACACGTGGGCTGGGAACCCGGAGCTGAGGTAGAGCAATCTGTTTTAACATGCTCTCTAGAGACTTCTGACTTCATATTTGAGAACTACAATGAGGAGTATGTCACTTTTTGTGTAAAAATAAGATAGATATAAATTTATCTGTCCTCTGTTTTGGAAATTTCAGGATTTATTCTAAGCAGAACAAGGTAGGGCTAAGGTGAACTTTCACTTTTCATTTTATCTGCTTCTGAATGCCTCAGATGTTTACCCTGAGAATATGTTACTTTGATTTTCTAAAAGGCTTCATCAACAAGCTACCCAAACAGAGAAACAAAATGCGGTCTATACACACCACGGAATATTATTCAGTCTTAAAACGGAAGGAAATTCTGACACATGCTACAAGGCAGACAAGCCTTGAGGACATTATGCTAAGTGAAATCAGCCAGTCACAAAGGGATAAATACTGCATGACTCCGCTTTAATGAGGTACCACATTCATAGAAACAGAAAGTGGAAAGGGGATTGCCAAGGGCTCGGGGGAGGGAAGAATGAGGAGTTATTGTTTATTGGTACAGAGTTTGAGGGAAGATGAAAAGACTTCTGGAGAAGGATGGTGGTGGTTACACAATAATGTGAATTACTTCATGCCACTGAACTGTGCACTTAAAAAGTGGCTAAGACAGTGAACTTTACCTTCAGTGTATTTTGCCATGATTAAAAAAATGTTTGAAACAGAGCTACCTGACCAAAAAGGTGTGTAAGGTAGGGCTAGGGTTTGAAGCTGGCAGGTTCTGGGAGAGCCTTGTCTCTAGATTACAGAGTATGAACTTGAGGGTTGGGCTTGATGACAACTCTTTCTGCTGTAGGGTCGGGTTGCAGCAAGTCTTGGCATCTGATAGAGAGACCACATCCTTACCCACACAATGGGAAACAGACCTAACGAACTTGCTCCCTTGGGAGATGGTAGTGTGGACAGAGAGTGGTTTGGATGGAATACAGAGACCTGTGAGGTTATGGGGAAGCTGGGTCGTGGCCCCCTTCCCTGTTACCTCTGCTGAGACCCTTCCTTGGGCTGGGGAGGGGCTGACTCTCCACGTGGGTCAGAGCTCTGCAGAGAGGGTGGTGAGCCCACTGGCTGGGGGAGATGGCTTATGTGGGGAGAGCGAGAGAGAGGGCAGGATGAGCAGAAACTACTAGGATAGGGCACAAATTTCTTGGTGACAAGTCTGTGCTCAGGCATCTGGCTGGTGCAAGGACTGTATTTGAAAGAGGGATGATGGGGAGGGGTGGTGGGATGAGAGGGGTGGGGGCACTGGCCAAGCTGGACCAGGCTCCAGTCAATTGGCTGGAGCCCAGAAGCAAAGGACATCATGTAGGCTACTGTCTGCCCTTCTGCCAGCTTGGGGGACAGGGCTCCTGGCCCAGGCTCTAGGGGCTTCTGCAGGTGGCCCAATCTGGCCTAGATGCAGGCCTGCCTGTGCATCCTAGACCCTCCCTCCCCCAGTCACCAGGAGTCTGGGGCTGCCAGGAACCAAGCAGGGGGACCTGTGGCCCAGGAGGGGACGGGAGTTGGGGAGGCCCTGTAGCCAGCCTGATCAGACTGAGGGGGTAGTGCAAAGCAAAGCGGAGGGGAGAGGATCTGGAGACTCTTCTGAGCTTCCATGTGTTCTCTAGGACTAGGACAGGAGACACGATAAGGGGAACTCTGATTGGAGACTTTCTGCAAGAATCCCCCACCTCCCAGGGCCAGCCTAGGGTCTGCATTCATCCTGCCCTCATTTAGCATGCTCCTTTCAGGAAGCTAGGGGCTTCCCCCGTGGCTCAGCAGCTAAATAATCCATCTGCAATGCAGGAGACACAGGAGATGTAGGTTTGATCCCTGGATCAGGCAGATCCCCTGGAGGAGGAAATGGCAACATACTCCTGTATTCTTGTCTGAAAAATCCCATGGACAGAGCAACCTGGCAGGTTATAGTCCAAAGGGTCACAGAGTTGGCATGACTGAGTGATACTTACTCACTCACTTTCAGGAAGCTGGAGACAGTCTCTGATTTCACAAAGCTCACAGTCCCACTGAGAGGTGGGGGTTGGGGGGCACCCTGACACTGGCAGAATCAGGTATGGCCAGCGCACTCTAGGGCTGGATCTACTCTGCCCTGCAAAGTCACAGGCCTCAGTCACCCCTTCTGTACAGTGGGTTGCTAGCTCAGGGTGCCCTCAGCCATGGCGATACACAATTCTCAGTGCTAGACGGGGAGTAGAGACTTTCCAATACCACCTGAAGTCTTTGCTCCCACTGTGGCCTTACCAGCCCCAGTGATGCATGGTTTCATGGTTCATTTCCCTGAAAGAGGTGTGGGAGGTGAAGAGGTGACAAGGGTAAATGGAGGAAGAAGGCTGGGGAGAGCCCTGCTCTTGGTGTGGAACGGTGATTAAGAGAGTGGGGTGGGATTCGCAGGGCCCGTCCATCCTGTTTCCTGCTTCCTTCACTCCCAAAAGTCTGTTGCAGGGCAGGGCTGCAGTGACCCATGGGGGTAGCAGGCTTCCCTGCTAATCTATGGGAGATGTGTGAGAATAAGGACGAGCTCATAGGAGTTGAGACCCACTTCCTTTGCTGATTTGGACTCATGGAGCAAAAGCCTGCCTGGTCCAGCCTCCCCAAATACCTCACACAGATGCCTACAGGCTCGTCGACCCTGCCCCAGGCTCAACTGCGGATTTAAGGGGAACTGGACCTACAGACTCTCCTCCAGTTGAGGACGGCTGGGTGTGATGCCAAAGAATGCCTGCTCTCTCCCCCTCCAGGTCCCACACGTGTCCTGTGGGTCCACCCTGCCCAGCAGGTGATTTAGCATGAGAAACTGGGACTAGACAGTGGGAGGGACCACCCAGAGAGGTGAGTAGGTGTAGGGAGAGCAGGCTGCTCTCTGCGGGAGCCCCTGCCAGTGAGTATAACTGGCCTCCCTCAGGAGCCAGCTTTGTTGGGAAGTTGCTCCCTCCCACCTCCAATCCTCCAACTAAGTCTGAAAATCCCAGTGATGTAGATGGTGCATGAGTCACCTGTTACAGAGCTAAATGAGATCCAGTTCAGATCCAGTTTGATGGGAAAGACACCATCCCTCCTCAGGGACCTAAGTCTGAGGGGAAGACACAGCCCTGCCCTTTGGGAACCTCAGTCTGGGGGGAGATCAGCTCTGTCATCAGTGTCCCACTTGACGGGGAAATGCCGTGTGCTCTCTACTTACTCCCTCCCTGGACCGATCCTCTGCTTTCCTGGAGCTTTTCTTCTCCAGAAAGGATGGGTCAGGGCCTGGGGGAGGGGGGCATCGGAACTCCGGGCGCCTCTCGTTGGCTGACTCCAAGCCGGCTCACCGTGCCTGCGTGAAACCGGTGAAGCTGAGTGTGAGGGATCCATTGAGTCATGGTGACTCAAGGGTGGACTAGACCCCCTTCGCCCCGACAGCAGTGGCTGTGTGAGAGGGGACCCGAGAGCCAGAGGTAGGAAAGGAAGCAGCGTTCCCCGCCCCCGCGGTCCTCTCTGTGCGCACTAGGCCTGCGCATGCGCGTGGGAGAGCTTGTGTCGCTCCAAGCCCACGTCCTCTTATCTCCGCAGACACGAGGGGCGGGAGTGAATCACTGAGCAAGAGATGGATGTCTGGAAGCCAGATGTGGCCCAGCTGTTCAGGGCAGTGAGCCCAGCCACCCCAAGACCAGATGCGGCGGTACTTCTCTTTCTCTCCACTCTCTACCGCCCAGGCGCTCAGGAGGACTTCTGGGGAAGGTCCCCTGCCCTGGGCTGGTGGAGGATTCTGTCTCTACTGTGAGGAGTTATCTCCCCGCATCAGGCGGGTGGTCTCTGAGGGAGTTCCACACAGGGTATTCACCTATGCCTGTGCACCTTTGCTTAAGACTGAGTGCTTAAGGCAGAAAGCGCCCTGAGGGCAGAGTCCACGTTTGTTGCTCATATTAGAGGGTCTGAAGGAAAACAGGGAGGGTGCTCCCTAAAGATGCCCAGAACTGCAGGTCCCCGAGAATAGAGGCTGTCTCCTGTCACACTGTAACCCCTGGAGGCAGACGTCGGTACCACTTCCCCATCAGATCAGGAGTTCCCTGAAGGCAGACTTCCTTTTTCTCCACATCAGACATCAGCTCCCCCAAGGACAGGCCTGTCTGTCCTCATCACCCTGTGAGGTCAGGGCTGCCGCATCTCCCGCTCAGGCTGCTTCCTCCCGTTTCCCTGGGGGACTTGGGTCAGCCGCCATTCCCTTTCTGTCCTGTCCGGCTACCACCTCATTCCTTGAGGCTTCCGGGTGTCTCCTGTGGTCCCTCCTGTGGTCATTTCACTCTCAGTGGCTGGGAAGGCAGCAGATTCCCAGCATCTCTGGCATGGCCAGTGACTCAGCCCTTCTTCCCCTGCCTGAGCAGCCTCAGTCCCCACATCATGTGGGGAAATCCCTCTGCTTCCCTCCTCTGACGTCTATGCCTGTCCCCCAGGTCCTCCCAGTCAGGACAGCTCCCTCCGTGCCTCACATGCACACTGTCATCCTCATCCACCAGCAGAGATCATGAGGAGGGAGCTTGTCACACACACACACACTTGTGGCTTCGTCTCATCTTCATTAGCCTGGGATGCATGCATGTATGTGGGCTCCGTTGCTTCCGTCGTGTCCAACTCTTTGCCATCCTGTGGACTGTAGCCCACCAGGCCCCTCTGGCCACAGAATTCTCCAGGCAAGAATACTGGAGTGGGTTGCCATGCCCTCCTTCAGGGGATCTTCCCAACTCAGGGATTGAACCCATGTCTCCTGCTTTGCAGGCACGTTCTTTACCACTGAGCCACCAGGGAAGCCCCGCATGGGATGCAGATAGGAAATGTCATCTCCACTTGACCATGGGCCCAAAGAAAGTGCTCAGGGTCACACAGCTTTGGGTGGTGGACTAGAAGTGGAACGGGCCCGAATATGCATGTTCCCTAGCTCGGTAGCAGGATGGCATGGTTGGCTCAGCTTCCGCTCTTAGAGAGCCCCAATCTGGGGTGTCTGTGATGAGAAAGCACCTTTCCTTCAGACCCTCTGATCTGATGGAAGAGGCATGGCCTCTACCCTCAGGTCCCCAGCAGGTGCTCATAGTCTTCCTGGGGAGAAGGAAGACAGGGAGAACCCAATGGCCATGGTGGTTTAAATGATGATGCTGGGGCTGAGCCAGCCATGCCACTGGGGCTGCCTGGCTGGACATGCTGGTGGCTTGCAGCAGAGTCCAAGTGCCAGGGAACATGGGTTTTGCCTGAGGGAGGCTGTAATGGTAGACTTCAGCCAGCCAGATGTTCTAGAGGGCATTCTAACCACTTGGTGGAAGGATACTCTGGGCTCTGCTAGGTGAGGGCGAACACCTTCTCTGTGTGAGGCCACTGTACTTCATCACTGTGCCCATTTTATGGGTGAGGAAACATTGGCTTAGAGGGGATCTTCACTTGGCTTAGAGCATGAAGTTCCCGGCCTTGAGCCCATGTCTGTCAGATCCCCAAACTCTCATTCCCCTGGGTAGGAAGCTGAGCATTGCCTAGTCTCGTCCCTGTTCCCATTGTATTCTGCTGGATGTGGTTCGGCTCTTGCCTCAGCCTGCGTGGTTTGGACCCTGATTCTGTACCTGCTTGCTGTGTGGCTGTGCATAAGTTGTTCAACCTCTCTGTGCCTGTTTCCCTATGTACTAAACGGGTATGGTGTAAAAGTACTTATTATATTGAGGTATAACTGGGTTTTGTGAGCTGACCCAGAGTAATCATAGGAAGAGGTTGGCCTCTTCCCTCTCCCCCACCCCAATGCCCTCTGTCCAAGAGAAGAGTGGTTGAGAGCTGGGACCTGGCAAGATGGGGCTAAGGTCTCTCTGGGGGTGGGACATTCCCCAGGGGGAACTCCGGGCCTGCTCAGGGCCCTCCTTGGGAGTTTCCAGAGGCAGGAGGAAGCCGAAAGCCTTACTCCCTACCGATTCCATCCGTCCTGGGCTCCCAGTCCTCTCCCCACTGCAGAGTGTGGGCATGTGGGCTCCTGGCACGTACCCGGTGATAAGGGCCACCCAGCAGGCAGGACGTGGGCTACGTGAGGGGCCAGCGGAGGCGGCTGCTTCGGCCGGCAGCTGCCTGCCCAGCTCAAGGGGCCAAGGCCGGGAGGCTGGGCTGTGGGGTCCATTGTCTGGCGAGCACAGACTCAGCAGCAGCCGGCAGCGGGCTCTTGGCAGAAGCTCTGGTCCTGCTCCCCCCACGCAGGCACGCCCTGGCCCGCACGTCCTCGCCTGGGCCTCCAGCCACCATGGTACTGTCCGCTGTGCTGGCCACTGCTGCGGCTGTCCTCCAGGGGGCACTGCTTGGGCACCTGGGAAGTCCTTGCAGGGTGAGTCAGGGCCTGGGTTCACCAAGGTGGAACAGACCAGGCAGAGGGACAGGGAAAGGCGATTCCCGGATGCAGCCGTGGAGAGTTACTGAGACGTCCACGTCAGATTTCAGGTGGACCAGGGGGCGGGGAGCTGGTGCTAGCCAGTGGAGTGACCTTGGGCCTCCTCTCTCACGTCACAGTTACCTGCAGGATGGGGACAGGAGAGGCCCGTCTCCAGGTCACATCCTGTGATTTGCAGTGTACCTTTGCTCTTCCTGGCTCAGCTCGGCCCCAGTTGAAACCAGAGCACAAGATGGGGCATGTTCCGATCTGTGTCTGCCTTTTCCTGTCTCCGTCCAAGTGGGCTGGGGGCTGGGATTTCCACCGCCCAGTGCCCTTGAGGGTCATTGAGGGGAGGCCTGACGATTCACTTCCCCCTGAGAACCCTCAGCTCCGGGCCTCCCAGGGCCAGAGCTATGGCCTCTGATCAACAGGTTAAAAATAACCCCCACGGGCTCTTCTGCCTCCATAGGAATGGTGTTTGTGTTGGCATCTGTGGCCCCTCGGGCCTGCCAACTTCCACAGCATGTGACATTGTCAGGGGACTATAGGTGTGAGGAAATCAGCCAGAGGGGCTCGTGCTGCCCTGACTCCAGGTGAGGGCATGGTGCAGGGCTCAGAGACAGCTGGCAGGGCCGCCTGGGGCCATGGGGCTGCCATGGGGCTGCCACGGGGCTGGGGACACATGAGGGGCAGGGTGAAGCCCACTTCTTGAAGTAAAATGATGTGGGTTGCAGGCTGGACTGTTAGGTGCTGCAAAGAGCAGAGTTGGGAAGACGTGTCATTCTTGGTCTTCAGATCCCAGAGTCAGAATCAGGAACCACCGGGTGGTGGAAATCAAGGAATTCTAGACTGGAAAAGAATTCCAAGGGAGCCTTGCAGTCTGATCTCTGCCCAGACAGGAGAATAGCAGCAGCCCACAAGAGAATAGTTATGGAGCTTGTCCTGAGTGCCTGGTTTCAGCTGCCACCCACTGAATTAATCTTCCCAGTGGCCCTTTGAGCCCAGCTCTGGGATATTTATTTATTTATTTTTAAATTGAAGAAGAAACAAAGGCACAGAGCAATTAAGTAACTTTGTCCAAAGTGTTAGTTGCTCAATCATGTCCGACTCTTTGCGACCCCATGGACTGTAGCCCACTAGGCTCCTCTGTCCGTGGAATTCTCCAGGCAAGAATACTGGAGTAGGTTGCCATGACCTTCTCTGGGGGATCTTCCCCACCCAGGGGTTGAACCTGTGTCTCCCGCATTGCAAGCTGATTCTTTCTTGTCTGAGCCACCAGAGCTTCAAACTCACCCGCATGATTCCTAAACCCAGTGATTCCTGAATCATTACCTTGTGTGTTTTTGCAGAGGTGGGAGCAGAGACCTGGGGACTCAGATGCGGGCTGGAGGTTCTGCTTAAGGTGCAGGACCCTTTCATTCTTGACTGTCCACAGCTCCCTCCACGTCAGGGCTTGTCTCATGGACAGTCAGAGTTCTCCCTTAGGCCAGCTGGAATCCCAGTGACTATTTTGTAAGATCGTTTTTTCTTGTTTGCTGCTCCAAGGAAATATGACAGCCTCTCGTTCCCCTGGTAAATAAAGTCCCTTCTTACCCTGAATTCAGTCTCGCTCAGATTATAAGCCCTGGGGTTTTCCTGGGGAGTTTAAGGAAAGGCATCCCTGTGAATCGGCTCGTGGACCCGCTGAGGCTGGCATCGAGGTGGACCCCCAGCCTACCCCTCCCCAGGCAGGACAGGCCAATGCCTTTTCCCTCCCTCTCAGGCATGTGTTCACCCTCCTTGTGGCCTCTGTGGCTCTGCGTGGTGTCTCGCCAGCTTCTGTGACCACACGTGGACCTGCTGAGGGTCTGGTCTCACTGTGGTGGAACCGCGGGCTATGCCCTGGCCGTCCCCACACGGCCGAGTCTCCCCGCTACCTCCATCCCCACCTGTGTCCATGGGGCCATGATGCAGTGGGAGGGTGGCTCTCCCAGGGCATTAATGTTCCTTGATTTTATGTCCCTGAGGGCTGGAGCTGTTGCTGTGGGATGAGGAGGCCAGCCAGGTCTCTCTCTAGACTGACACCACAGGTCACCCAGTGGCAGCTCTGTCCCTCACATCCCAGGGTAGGATTTCACGAGCGGCTGTAATGAGCTCCTAGGATTTCCTGGGAGCTGAACTGTGCCAGGTGCTGAGGAGGCACGTCGAGGAGTCGGCTCCTTGAATCCCCACGACACCCAGAGGCGTGGGCTCCAGTGTGATCCCCGCTTTCCAGGTGGGGAATCCCAGGACATCGACGGGCTCTGGGCTGTGTTGGCGCAGTGCCACACTGACACCGTCATCTTAAAAAAAACATAAAAAAATCACTGCTCGTTGCCCTTGAGTAGTGAGGAAGTAAGAGCCATTCCTGAAGCATAGACAGAAAAACTGAGTCAGACGTGAACAGTGGGTCAGGCTGGCCATCCTGCCTCCCTCCACCCAAGCCTGGCTGGCTGAAACCTGAAGCATCTTCCCAGGGTATTTCCCTCTTTCTGGATATCAGTATACCCACTTATCTGATCTTTCCTTCCTTCTGTTTTTATCCATCCATCCATCCATCCACCCATCCATCCTCAGCTCCTCTTGGAGATAAATCCTTCCACCAAGGCTCCTCCTGGCCTTGCAGCTCACACAGAAGGAAGTGCTCCTTGAGGGGATGTCACATCCTTGGGTGACTCCTCGCCCCCCAGACACCCCATCTGTCCCCCCTCGCCCCCGCCCCCAGGCACACCGTGAGTCTGAGGTGATTCCACCAGAGAGGCCTATCAGAGTTAAGTTTGAGCAGAGGGATGTGCATTTTTTTTTTCCCCGCTTCTGTACTTGAAGGTGGTCTTGCCAACTATGTGCTATCATGGATCTAGGCTGCTTCTAGCTTATTGATCTGCTTGGTGTCATTTCCATTTCCAAGGTCACTCCAGCCACTGGAGCTCCAGTCAGAGGTAAGGAGAAAGAAAAGAGTGAAGAAGGGCCTGCCCCTTCCCTTTAAGGGAAACTTCCTGGAAATCACACACAGGGCTTCTATCCCACAGGACACAAGTCCATCCTCCAGCCCCGCTATGGCCCAAGGGAAGCTGGACCATACAGTCATTCCCACGGGGGTCTTGCTGAAAACTGGGAAAAGAGGGATGAATGGAGGTTGGGAGACAGTCTGCCACCAGGGCCTTGGTACCTTTATTCTACAGCTGGCAGAGGGTGGGTGAGGGCTTCCTAACTCCCTTTCTCAAACAGCTCTGCTTCGCTGCCTTCCCTGAAGCCTCAGTTCTTCCTGAGATTTGGCATTTCCTATCCAGAGCAGGTAAGGGCAGCAAGACCGCTTGCCATGGACCTCTGTCCATCCATTGCCAGGCGAGGGCACTCATTCTCAATGCCACCTGGGAGGCAACTCGTCTTAGTCCCATTTTACAGTTGGAGAAATTGAGGCTCAGAGAGGTTGGGTAACTTTCCTAAGAGCACCCATCTGGGTTCTGAGCTTAGTTCCTCTGTGTTCCTTTCCCACAGAGCCTTCCCCAGAGGAGTTCCTGCCCTGGGCCCTCTTGGGATCTGCCAGGAGGAACTGGAATGGTCTGGGCTCCAGGAGGGCTTGTCTGGGAGGAGAGGGCAGGCGGGCCGTGACATCAGTCCGCAGGTGTCTCCTCAGCACTTACTCAGTGCCATGGTCAGCGGACGTGTCTGAACAGGGTCTGCTGACGGGCTTGGGGATTTCTGCTGGCGCCAGGAGCTGGCCACTGCAGCCACATCCTCAGACACCACTTTCTCCGGCATGTGTGTCCTGGACCTGGGGGGTGAGGAAGGGCAAGTATAGGGCACCCTCTGCCACTTCCCCTCTCTTGCTCCTGACCACCTTGCCCAAGCCCAGGCCCCAAAAAGACTGCTTTGGGGAGGGCGGAGAGGGAGGGTGTATAACCAACTCTGAGGAGAAGGGGCAAGACTCTGGACTTTTCAAGCAGACCAGGGTCATTCAGGCCATCCCTCTGCCTCTGGGAAGGATTGTCCTCACTTGCTGTTGACCCAGGAGGGTGAGGTCACTGCTCTGCCCTCGGTGTTGGGGGAGGTACTCTGAGCGTAAGCACTGTGGTCACAGACACGACATGAGGTTAGTAACGTTACTGTAATCTCTGCTCCCCAATCTCTGGCCAAGAGGAAAGGCTCCTGAGCAGTGAGTCACAGCTGGCAGCCGACTGCGGGGTAGGCCACGTGCGACTCCAGGGGGGTGTGCTGGGGATGGCCCTGAGACCCAGACATGACCTCTGGCCTCTGGGACTTCCCACAGGAAATAGGTGATGAACAGGAAGAGCCGATTTGAGCCTAGAACCCTGCCTCCGCTCCCCTCCAACTTCCCTCTCACCTCCACTGGGAAGTCTTCCTTGGTTAACAGCCCTGGGCTCGCTCTGGGGTGGACTATGGGCTCCCAGCTCTGGCAAGGTTGGTTCCATCCCACCAAGTCTGGGCACCTACAGGTTCTGTGCTAGGAGCAAGGGTGTGGGCAGGAAGGTGGAACTTTCATTCAAGTCATTCATTCATTCATTCTTTTGACAAATGTGCCAGGCGCTCTGTAGGTGAACACTACAGACTCAGTTCTGCTCTCCCAGAGCCTGGAGGAGAGACTGAAAGCAGACAATCACACAAATAAAAAAGAATTACAAACTGGACCCAGGGAGGGCAGGGTCTGGAGGTGAGGGGGTGGGGATTAGGGGGCTTCTAGGGGCTTGGGCCATTCCCGGCGGGCGCAGATCCCCCCTGGGAGCCCGCCCCCACCGAAGAGGGTTCTGCAGGGAGATGGCTGGCTGACACGGTGGCATGGTGCCCGCCAATGGGGGCCGTGCCAAGCGTGATGTGATGTGTGCTGATCCGTCTCCACTCCTTACTGAAGACCAGTGTCTGCTGCCCCCGCAGCACAGGGAGCGTGGGGCGGTGCTCCCATCAGGTCTGGGGGTGTC